GCATGGTTTCACTATGATCTGACATAAAAGAGGAAAAAATAATAGTAAAAAAGATGTCGGCAAATAATATTGTCCATGATAATCATCATCATTATTTTAGTTTCATTTTCTTTGAACCATTGTTTTGTTAAATAAGATTATATGATAATAGGAAAACAAAGTCAAAAACCAAGAAAGAATATTTTTCTTTTCGATATCAGGAATTTCATCTCGACGATGGGGTATGGGTGCGAATGTGGGTATAACTATTTTGTTCGTCCACATCCACACCCTAATCAAAATTTCAGAAGATCGTTGTTGAGACATCATGATGTTTAATTGTTCTTGAAAATGGTAATAAGACTGTTTTTTGTCAAGTATCTTATTTGTCATGAGTTCAAGATGTTGCTCTATTATTTCAAACTTTTTCTTCTCATCTTCACTTGTTACCTTACTTTTAGTTTCATTGACCATACATCCTACTAGTAAGTTGTATAGCATGTAGACGATTACAGAACGTTCTAATTTTTACGTTAGATTACTTTCGAAAGTGATTCTGTCACTTTCTGGAATATTGTGACTTTCAAATAAATAGTCGAATGTCACCATCAAGAATGTATTCTTACATTCAGTGTATATTTTGTTCTCACATGACTTTTTTATTGTGAAACTGTTCAATATCATATTTGAACACCAATCACTGAGTTTCAAAATAAAAAGATTTTCAAAACACAATCACCTCAAACAAGTGATTTGATCCTAATCAACCAACACATTAGCATGAATGTGCTGAACAATTCGAGGAAGATTCAGACGATGAAGGTGATGACATGACCAATGATCCAGAAAACTTAAAAATACCAGATGGTCTTTAAAGTAGCTCAGAAGAATCAGATGGTGTTCCAATTGAAAACGATTCCGGTGATGAATCTAATACAAGCTACGCTGAAATCGAACATATGAGCGACGAAGAACCATCAAAACGTCGACCTAAACATGAACCAGCATTGGAGCGACCTGAGGTGAGAATATTTTCGCCAAGGTCTGGACGACAATGGACTACAGAAAAGCCTCCAAAACGAAAAGTGGCACAGGCAAATATTACAAAGCAACGAAGTGGTGTTGGACGACCGGCAACAAATATTCAAATTGTGAAAGAAGCATTTCAACTTCTGATCATGCAAGAAATGACTCTTCTTCTTATTAGAGAAACTAATCGACGAGCTCATCTGGACATAAGACAATGGAACGATCAAAATCCTGGCAAAGAACATCAATGGAAGGAAACAGATAGCGAAGAAATATGGGGCTTCATAGGAATCTTGATCCTTGCAGGTGTTTATAGATCCAAAAATGAAGATCTTTACGATTTATGGTCGACAATCAATGGACGACCAATATTTCAAGCAACTATGACAAAGAATCGCTTCAAAAGCTTGCTTCATTTTTGCCGGTTCGACAATATAACCATTAGAGACCAACGATTGAAAGAAGATATATTAGCTCCAATCAGAGATTTATGGGTGATGTTCTTAGCTCAACTATTTTCTTTTGAAGATTGTATCAGTTCCATTTGTCGTATTGATTATGATTCACAATTAAATTCTTTTATTAGTTTTTCATCACCTTTAATTGATGGAATGCCACAGCCAAATTTTTTCCAAACGGAAAATTTCGACGAATTAAAAATGTGGTTTAGTAATTTTAATAGGCAAAAATTTAATAACATTTATATGGTACAATCAATAGTACCATCCGCTTTCCCATTAATTTTGTCAGTTTACAGATCAGATAACAAGTTTACAGCAACAGATATTTTAAAGAGATGGTTATATATCTACAATCAGCGTTTTATTCAGGGTATACGTGTAATAGGTTTTAGTTCTGATGGTGATCTACGTTATCTCAGAACAATGAGATTATGTATTCGATTTTTTGTTGAATTACCTAATTTAAATCTGTTTAAACATAATGATAATTTTTATATAAAGATACCCGAGCAATGGTCGTGGTTTTTTATGAAAGAGCAACAAATTTTGCTTTTTATGCAAGAACCAATTCATGTCGCAACAAAATTTCGAAATAGACTTCTTTCTGAAGTAGCATCGATGAAGATAGGTGATTATTCAATTGATATTCAACACTTGATGAATTTAATTCAATTAAAAAATAAACTTGAGCATAATTTAATTAAATGTGATGTTAGTCTTAAAGATCGACAAAATTTTGCATCTTGTAGACGAATATCTTCTGAAACAGTTTTAA